TATATGTAACATACATGTATGTTGTAAAAATTAAATAATTAACACTCATGAGCCTACCATCCAGCCAAGAACCAAAATACAGTTTTTTTCTTATAGTTTAAAAATATAATATTCATGCATATCAAACATTATATGTAACATACATGTATGTTATAAAAATTAAATAATAAACACTCATGAGCCTACCATCCAGCCAAGAACCAAAATATTATCATAATCTATGCATAATGGATAATTTATCCATACTATTTCAGAACTAAATTTTATTCCACTATATATTTATGTTTGTATCTTTGACTCTTCTTTGGCATTCTTTTCTTTCCTCCTCCTTCCTTTCTCTTTTATTTATTTTTTTGAATCAAGTTGTCTCAGGGAGCTGAGATTTATCCTTGTTTTAAAAGAGATTGCATCCTTTTTACCCACTTAAATTCTGTTTCAAGCTTGCTTCAGGATTTAGAACAGAAGACATTTACATCTGACTATTTTTGATTAAACTAATGTCTTTTGGGATGCTTGACTCTTAGTTGCTTATGATTTGCCTTGCAAGGTGCTAACTTGCTTGCGTGTTGAGGGTGGTAAAAAAAAATGGAAGTGAGACATAAGGAAAGACACCATTATGTTTTGAAAATCTGTGATTGGTAAAGATATGGTTGACTATTAACGTGTCACTTACAGTTTCTGAAAGAACGTGGGTGAGACATAGTATTAAAACAGATTAGAGGAACCATTCCCTAGAGTAATTAGAAATTCAGTGATATTTTTTGAAGTAAAATCTGTTTTAAAGGCAGAGAACACCTTCTGTGTGATGTCAAAGTTTGTTTGTATCCAGTGGTTCTCAAGTGTGATTCCCCAGAGCAGCAGCAGCAGCACCTGGGAACTTGCATAAATTATCTGGGTGATTCTAATATAGCTAAAGTTTAGAACCACAGCTATGCAGGGATATCTTCATTTGTATTAGCTAGCTTAAGTTGGCATGGTAATATGAAGTAATGCTGTGTGGGAACTTTCTATTGCAAGTGACAGAAATCCAACTTGAATTAGTTTAAGAAAAAGGGAGTTTACCAGGTTGCCTTAGCTGAGCTGGAAGATTATTGGGGTACCTCACAGATTCAAAGTAGTAGTTGGAAGAATCAGGGCCATGGAGCTTGTAAAACTGCTTGTTTCTGCATGACTGTCCTGTTAATAGATTGGGTTCCTATGAGTCCTTGACAAGTGGAGAAGATGGTCACAGGCAGCTCCAAATTCACATCTTCTGAGCTTAGCAATTCCAGAAAGAGCTGCTTTTTACCATTTTACAAGCCCACTCCTCAAGTGTTCCGTTCATGGGAATGAGGGTGAATGACTGGCTTAGCCTGGGTTGCATGTCTATTCACAGGAGGAGGAAGAATAGAGAAGTATGCTACTCTGACAGGGTAGTTCACTCCTAGACATTGGGGTTGCTTTCAAATAAGCTTAACAATATTTGAAGCAGAAAGGGAGATCTAGAGGTTTATAGAATTCGAAAATGAACATGCTCAAACGTGTATAGTATTTGTTAACTACTGTATTGTGTTAAGAGTGGTTAACCACTTCATTAAAGGCTTATGGTGCAATAACGTGGAAGTTGATGTTTTAGGTTTATTATTTTGTATGGAATTAGTTTTTTGTCACTGTAAAAGTAAATATATCCTATGACATCTGGAAAATACAGAGAAATAGGGGAAAAAATCACCTAATGTTCTGCTCTCCAGAGACAACTACATCTTGGTGAATTTCCTTTGCATATTTTCTTACATAGTTATCTTATGATGCTAATTTTTTTCTTTGTTTTGATTAGCATTTATTTATAACTTCCTGTCAGAGTATAGTAGAAACTTAATCTCATTCAATACGAATTCTACTAGGGTTGTATGATGTTAATTTATTTTTTTTAAAAGACCTAATTTTTTTAGACCAGTTTTAGCTTCATAGCAAAATTGAGAGGATATACAGAGATTTTCCATATACTCCCTGCCCCCACACATGCATATTTGTTAGAATTGATGAATCTACATTGACAGTAAATGGCCCAAAGTTCATAGTTTAACATTACCCCTTCAGTCTTGGTGGTGTTCATTCTGTGAGTTTGGACAAAGGGATAATGACATGTATTCATCATTATAATATCATAGAGTATTTTCACTGTTCTAAAAATTCTCTGTGCTCTGTCTAGTCACTCCTCCTTCCTCCCCAGTAACCACTGATCTTTTTACTGTCTTCATAGTTTTTCCTCTTCCAGAATGTCATATAGTTGGAATCATACAGCATATGGCCTTTTCAGATTGACTTCTTTCACTTAGTAATATGCATTTAAGGTCCCTCCATGTGTTTTCATGGCTTGATAGCTCATTTTTTTTCTAGCATTGAAAAATATTCTATTGTCTGGATGTATCAGTTTATCCATTCACCTACTAAAGGGCATCTTGGTTGCTTCCAAGTTTTGGCCATTATAAATAAAACTGCTATAAATAGCCATGTGCAGGTTTTTGTGTGGACATAAATTTTCAACTCCTTTGGGTAAAGACTAAGGCACATGAGGCACATGATTGCTGCATCATATGGTAAGAGTATGTTTAATGTTTTAAGATTAGAAAGACTGCCAACTGTCTTCCAAAGTGTCTGTACCATTTTGCATTTCCACCAGCAGTGAATGAGAGTTGATGTTAATTTGTAAATCTTGTTTTTCATTTAAATTCACAAGTAAAAAATATGTTCATTTTAAGTTTCTTGACATATAGCACCATCTAGATATTTTTATTGTTAATATGTTAAATTTGTTCAGTTGTTCATTTAATAGGTGAAAAACTGGCTATCTTATTTCAATTTTTGTGTCCTTGATTACTGAGTAAGTTTTTGTTTTTTGTTTTTTTGGTTTGATTAATTATAATTCCTCTTTTGTGGGTTTCTGCTTATCATGTAATGTCTTAGTGGTTTTCTTATTGATTTGTATGAGTTCCTTAAATGAGCTCTGCTTTCTTTAGCTTCCTAGTCTGTAGTTTATAGGTTTTTAAAAAATATAAACCTTAATTATTTTGTGTATTTAATTCCATCTAGTTTTTGATAGGTTATTTGTCTTACCATTTTTAAGTTAAAAAATTCTCTCCTTTCAGAGATCCAATAACTTTTCTTTTGTTGTTTTATTTTTTGTTGATTGTAACTCTATATTCCATCTAGAATAGAGCAATTTTTACGCTGCTTTTTTGTAGTTTCTGTAGGCTAGTGGTTCTTGATTGATTGTGAGGTTTAAGGACCATTTGAAAGATGATGAAACTATAGTGACAAAATATATTTTAGCAATGAAAAAATGATCACCTCTTATCTAACAAATCTAAACTTTCCCATCAGAGTTAAACATTTAGACACATTTCTGATTAGCCTTCTGTTAGTACAGCAAAAGCATTTGTATTTGCTGGAAATAACATTTGTTTATGAAGAAAATTACAGCAGAAATCTGTTTAAACAGAAAATTCTAGACTGTTCAGATAGCCCAGGATTTTGAAAAAGACTTGTGCTTTGGCAGGAGCCCAGGAGAGGAAGTGTCTGCATCTGCTACATTCTAGAAGCCTTCCCAAAGAGTTACTGTAAAGCAGCCAAGAGAACAGTGTATTTCACTACTGTGTGGTTCTGGAAGTATCTGGAAGTTTGCAGAAAGGAGGAGGTGGAGGGAGGAGACTTAGGAGTAATTCCAGAATGTCAGTTCTGTGGTGATCTGTCTTTATTGATTCAAGTTAGGAGAAGGTGTTTGTGTGTGTGTGTGTGTGTGTGTGTGTGTGTGTGTAATAGTTTTCCAATTTGGACTTGAACCAGTTGCTTTAATTGAAGCCACTTGGGAAGAGTGAGAGGTGCCTGCACAAGTCAGAGTAACCAGCGGGTGCCTGTTATTGGGGCAAATGGTACTGCAGTGGTAACTTATTCTCCTGTAATGTAATAAAGGAGAAGGATTTAAAGTCCATGTATGTAGTGGAGAAGCAGCAAGAGAAGAGTGTGGACAGGGCATTTGGGAGCACAGGGTAAAATCTCTGCTGGTTAGTTGATAATCTGCAACTGCCATGAAGAATCCATTCCAGAAAAGACAGTGCGATGGGGGAAAAAATAAAAAGACAGAAGGGCTTTGCTGCCAGATTTTAAAAAAGTGCCACAGCTATGTACTGGGCTGGATTTTTTACATAGAGCACAGTAGATAAGAGAAAAAAATCTAACATTGGGTCCTTTGAGGAAATTGCTAGCTTAAATCGATAGGGCTGTTCATTCTCTTTGGATTCTGTACAACTTAAAAAGAAAAAAACAGCTTTATTGAGATGTAATTATGAACCACATGATTCACCCATTTAATGTTCATGATTGAATGGTTTTTAGTACTTTCATGGTGTTCTTCAGCCACCAATCACCACAATCAATTTTAGAACATTATTCATCACCCCAAAATCTATAATTTTTAAGTGAACTTATTTTAATATTTAATATTTTAATATTTAAATAGGGTAAAGCTGGAACAAGTTAGGAATTCAGAGGATTAATCAGAAAGCTCTGAAACCTTTTTTCCCCTTTAAACATATTTTAACATTTTAGAATATATTTTGGTAGTATTTAAATTAAGTTACTTTAATAGTGGTATATTTTAATGAGAAATTCATGGCTTAGTTGTAGCTCACAGAAAAAATTTATTTTTCAGGCTATATGGAAAAAGTATTACTATTTAATCACTCTAATTGTAGTAGTAACTAAGGAGGAAACAAACTCAGCATTTTTAAGCATATATTATGGTGATAACAAACATGTACATTTTTCTTTAACATGAAATGCAAAGTTATTAGTCTATGTGAAAAATAAGATAGTAGCTCTTACTAAATTAGCATTCAATTTAAGAGAATTAGTAACAGTTCCATGGGTGATCTTGGGGTCTAATTTACATTTTGTTCATAGAAAAATAGGAACTTTTCCTACCGTTCCTTTTTTTTGTAATGGCCATATTTCTCTTCTAGGTGTGTGAGCCTGTAAAATTAAGCCTTTGAAGATGATCGGGTGCATTTTAGTTGTAGAGATTCTACTTTCTCAGTCTTTGGCCCATCCAGGGTTTTTTACTTCAATTGGTAAGTTGTAATTTTTTGTTTGTTTGTTTTTCGATTTAAAATTTTCCACTTTTTTGTGTTTTCAATCAATAAAAACAAATAACGTTGTATTCCCAGAGACTGAAACATTGCTTCAGTCTCTGCCCTTCTAAAAATCTCTCTTTTTTATAATCAGTCTTTTTCTTTAAATTAATTTTTTCTGATTATAAGAACAATACATTTTCAGCTTAGAAACTTAGGAAAATTTAGGAAAGCATAACAAAAAAATTCTCTGCTAATGAGTCCACCCAGCAAATCATTTAATGTATATACTTAGTCTTTTATATTTTCCTATATGCATATTTCATCTGTCTTAAAAGAATTATTTTCCTTCATCCTCTTGACCAGTTTTAACCTTATGTGATTTTAGAGCTAACTAAAACACAGGTATTAATTTTGGGATGTAAAATGATGAGTTTTCTCATCCTATTATGAATAACTAAATATGGATATTTGAATTTAAGCTATGAAGTAAACTTTTTGTTAGTGTGGTCTTTATTAAATAAAAATGTAATTCTAATTGGTCTCAAAAAAAGAAGGTGAAGGGGGAGGAAGGGAAGAAGAAACATTGATCCTTGGGAAGTAATGTTGTTTTGAAATTAAAAAATAAATAAAATTTTAGATAAAAGGCAATTTGTTGATATGTCCCAAGCTTACACAATTAAGTAGCTTGAAAATTAGAATTGGAACACATGATTAGAAAAGTTTTTGGCTTCATTGTTATTTATCTAGTTTAAAAAAAAAAAAAGGATACTCTCTCCAACATAGCTGATTCATGCCAGTTAAGTCCTCTCATAGAGTGAAGCATTTTTCAATCATTCTGAAATTATCTAAGTTGGGTGTACTGACCAATATGAGTATTTAATAACTTCCTTTTCTTTCTTCTAGGTCAAATGACTGATTTAATCCACACGGAGAAAGATCTGGTAACTTCCCTAAAAGACTATATTAAGGCAGAAGAGGACAAATTAGAACAAATAAAAAAGTAAGGAAAGTGTTTTACTCATTATGACTCCGACTCCACCTGGATGTTTTCTTTCTAGAGCTGAAACATTCTTTGTGTGGAAATGAAAGCCCTCTGCCAGTCTTAAAAGGCCATTTGAAAAGACTGAAATAGAAAAACAGAAAGTAAAAGTTAGGCCTGAACTAAGACCTCATGTGGAAGAATATGGATTGAGATAATATAAATGGTTCGGGGTCGTAGACGGACAGTTTTTTTTTAATGGTTGCTAATGTCTTCTGTCCTCCAGCCTCCCTAATCAAGCCACTTTCTGGAGAAGTTTTTCAGTTCTATTTATCCTTCACTCCTTTGGTTCCATTCTGGAGATTACAATGATAAGTTTAGTTAGTATTATTTAATTAATATATCTCTTCCTTAAATGCTAATTTATTTTTAATTGACTCAGGTCAATTAAAATAATAGTTAATCCTGACCTGAGAATTCTTATCCTTTGTTTAATGAGTAGTTAAGTATTCAGGTTTTTTTTGTTTTAGGTATTGAATATAAAATTTTGGTTTTATTCTGATTTTATTTATTTACTTTTTTTAAACTTTAAAGAGGCTGGGATATTTTATTTTTTAATTTGGTGCATATAAGGTTTTATATTGAATATAAAAGTTTGATTTAAATGAGCACATAACTGAATTTGGTTTGGGCTGATTTGTACTTTGTAATAATCAGTTATTTTGCTTTAAGGACCTGTGGGGAAATGAATTTTTAGGCTCTTACTAGAGGGATCCAATCACAGCTTTTGCTAAGTTAATGTCTACTGTAACCATTTGAGAGAACAAAACTAAAACAAAAAGTCTTGTAGTCATATTTTGATTCTGCCAAGCTAGATTTATCCATGAGAGAATCTTGCTTTTTAAGAAACCTTTATAATTTTACTTTTAAAAGAATTTTTAGGTGTAGTTTTAATGTAAAAATCTATAGATCTAGTCTTTTTTTCTTTTTGAGTGCTTTGCTAAATTGTTTTTCCTTGTGAAGTGTATTTATCTTCCATTTATGTCTTACATTTTTAGATGGGCAGAGAAGTTAGACCGGTTAACCAGCACAGCGACAAAAGATCCAGAGGGATTTGTTGGACACCCTGTAAATGCATTCAAGTTAGTGAAACGTCTGAACACTGAGTGGAGTGAGTTGGAGAATCTGGTCCTTAAGGATATGTCAGATGGTAAGTCAGATGGTAAGATTAACAGGCCAAAAAAAAGTATGACATTTTTGCTACCACCTGTGGAAATGCCAGAAGTAGTGATAAAGTCAGTTCTCAGAACATCATGTGTTCAGTCTTGAAACTGAATTATTGCTGGGATGTATTTGGTTTGACTAGAATTAATTTAGTCTAGATCCTGAATTCTTGATTTAAAAAAAAGAATAAACACTGGAAGCAAAGAAAAAGAAAATTTTATTAAAAAAGTAATTTCTGCTATTAACACTGGTCCTTTTTACTTTGAAATCTACAAAAGTGAATCGATTATTTGGCATATAGCTTCATTTCTGAGGGTAATCATTTTCATTTTAGGATTATCTTCAGATTTTAAAAATGTTAGCTGTGTTTTATATAGTACTTTGAAGCTTAGGATTGTTTTGCTTAACATAGACAATAAATTTAAAAACTGAGGCAACAAACAGTAATAATAAATGTCTTTGTAATTGAAACAGTAAAATTGTAGTTGGAGTATTGAGATTTTTTAGAAATTTTAGTAACAGACACAGAAAACTTAGCCTGGAGTTTAAGCAAATAAACTTAGTACATAGTATTTATGTGTTAAATGGTAGAAGGTGGTTTAAAAAAAAAAAGGGAACTGAGCCAGCTGTGTAGATGAAATACTCCAAGGGTGCTTACAAGTAGTTTTGAGCAGTAAACTAAACTATTATACGCAGGACAGGAAACCTTGAAAAGAAAACATGAAAAGAAAAATTAAGTCAAGAACTTGTGAATTAAAAAATAAAGAACTCGTGAATACTTCTTTGCGATGAGAAGGATTATTTGCTTGCTTATATAACGCTATGAGAACATTTTAAAGGTCATATATGTATGTGTTCATATACATTATACATCTACACCCACATTTGTTTATTATTTTAAAAAGTTCTCCAGTGATGACCTGTATGACCTGTATTTTATAAGATAAACCTTGGGAATTTGGCATTTTAATTGGTGGTAATCATCCCATAATGCTTTAATAGATACACATTTTCTCTTTTTATTAGAGAGGATTTAAGCAACTTCCTGGATTTTGTTTGGGGGCATAAAAAACATTACAGTCTTTTGTAAAACTTCCTTGTAAAATTCCGTGTGCATATTGTGACTAAGAGTTGGTCTTAAAACTAAAAAATATGCTTACTATGAACTTTGTCCTCTTGCAGCTAGTTGTTCATTTGTACATTTCAATTCACATGAAAATGCCTGGCCTTTTGATGATCAAAATACGCATAGTTGATTATAAGTAAATGAAGAGGGAGGGAAATCTGGTATCTAACTTTGATTTGCAAATGATGATACATATATTATTAAAATTTTAAATCACTTTTTGTTTTCATTGTATTCCTTAAGGAGTATTTAGCATCCATTCTCCTTAAGAGTTATATAGTTAACAGTAATTAGTATGTTAGTTTGATTTTTGTAATATTTTATGTAAAACCTTTTAAAATTAATACTAGAACTTATATAGAGCAAATCTTTTTAAAAATTTATTTATTTATTTACTTTATTCGAGGTACTGGGGTTTGAACCCAGGACCTCATGCATGCTAAGCGTGCACTCTACCACTGAGCTATACCCTATATAGAGCAAATCTTGATTGGTGAACATTATATTCAATAATTCAACAGATCTAAATATATTTTAATAAACTTGCTTACCTGATACTCTTAAATATATAATTAATGTCTCTTCTTTCTCCTCAAAGAATTCCACCAAACTTTATATATTTACGCATTTATTTATGTAATATGTGGCCCATGGAAGAAGAAAACAGAACTTTATTTAATTTTTCTTTTTAGAACTTTATTTCAGAACATACATTTTACTTATTGTTATCTGAAAGTATAATTGGTTGCCAATTAATGTCATTTTCAAATCTTTAAATACATTCACTTTTCAGGCTTAGTGGAGCTAAGCTATCTTGTGTAACTGAAAACAATTATTATGTTAGTTGATCTTTACCTACTAATACAGATATAACTTATGCAATGACCCCAGATTACTTAAGCAACATTAAAAATGGTTTGGGAACACTGAACAACATTAGAGGTATGTCAAGTATCATTCAGTGTATTTGATTTTTTCTTGTTATGCATGGTATGGTGGAAAATTATAATCAAATGAATTTTGAAAAATCCTTATAAAGACTCTATATTAGAAATTGGAAGTCTGTGAAGTTCTAGAATCTTTTTTCCTTTTTTTCTTCCAGTTTTGAGTTTTATTTATTGATATACAGCACTGTATAAGTTTAAAGTACACAGCACGAAGATTTTACTTAACACACATCATGGAATGATTATCACAAGTTTAGTTAACATTCAAAATTAAAGAAATAGAAAAAAAAAGTTTTCCCTTGTGATGAGTAAATTCTAAGAGTTCTCTCTTAATGACTTTTGTGTATAACATACAGCAGTATTAATTACATTTATCATGTTGTACATTACGTCCCTACTAGTACTTATTAACTGGAAGTTTGTACTACATGACTGCCCTCCTCCAATTCCACCCCATTCCAACCCCCTGCCTCTGGTAACCATAAACTGATCTCTTTTTGTGTGAGTTTGTTTGTTTTTGCAATATAATTGACCTACAACACTGTATTAGTTCCTGTTATATAACATACTGATCCTATATTTCTATATGTTTCAAAATGATCACCATGATAAGTCTAGTTATGATATGTCACCACCATAAAAAGATAACTACATAGTTATTGACTATATTCCTCACACTACATTTCACACCCGTGTCTAGAATCTTTTTTTTCTTTCCCTATTTTAAGGCTTTATCTCTAACCTAACCATTCAGAGACAATACTTCCCTAATGATGAAGATCAGGTTGGGGCAGCCAAAGCTCTGTTGCGTCTCCAGGACACCTACAATTTGGATACAGATACCATCTCAAAGGGTGATCTTCCAGGTAAGAATTCTCCTAGTCTGTAAGAAACCTATTACCTGGCATCTCTGTTCAGTCCATTAGGACAATGTTAATATAAAAAGTCTTTGGTATTTTAAGATTTTTAACTTTAGTTTGTCTCACAACCTTTGAGGAGAAAATGACCCTTTCTCTGGGACTTAATAGTTGGGGATAAGCTGCTAGCTTGTTACTGTGAAAGCTTACAATTATAGAGACTAACGTTAGTAGGCAATTTTAACATGTAAGAAAAAGAAACAACCATTTTCCAAATGTCTGTCTTTAGAATACCCAATGTTTGTATGTAGAGTTATAAGGGAACTGATAATTGAAGTTTATGTATGTTCAGTAATTTAAAACCAAGACATGTTGAGTATGCACAGATTTTTAAAGTGTTCTACAGTGTGGAGCATCCTGCTTTCTGATCTATTTTTGGCAAAACCCTTTTATTAAAGTTACAGATGATTTCATGATAATTTGCTTAAAAGATTTTTATTGTGAAAAAATATAAAACAAAATTTACCATCTTACCCAATTTTGAATGTGTAGTTTATGGCATTAAGTACATTTACATTATTGTCAGCCATCACTACAGTCCATCTATAGCTCTTTTCATCTTGTGAAACTGAAACTCTGTACCTATGAAACAATAAGTTCCCAGTCCCTCCTTTCCCAGCTCCTGGCAATCATTATTCTGCTTTCTGTCTCTATGATTTTGACTACTCTAAGTACCTCATATAAGTAGAATCATACAGTGTTTGTCTTTTTATGACTGGCTTATTTCACTTAGTATAATGTCTCCAAGGGTCATCCATGATGTAGTATATTTCAGAATTTCCTTCCTTTATAAGTCTGAATAATAATCCATGATAAGTATATACCATATTTTGCTTATCCATTCATCTGTCAGTGGCCAGTTGGGTTGCTTCCACGTTTTAGCTGTTGTGATTAATGCTGCTATGAACATGAGTGTGCAAATAGTTCTTTAAGACATTGCCTTTCATTCTTTGGGTATATACCTAGAAGTGGAATTGCTGGATTATATGGTAATCCTATTTTTTTTTAATTTTTTGTTGTTTATTTATTGTTGTTGTTGTTAGGGGGAGGTAATTAGGTTTATTTACTTTTTTTTTAATGGAGGTACTGGGGATTGAGCCCAGGACCTCATGCGTGCTAAGCAGGCACTCTATTAATTGAGCTATACCCTCCCGCCTGGTAATCCTATTTTTAATTTTTGAGGAACCACCATACTATTTTCCATAGTAGATAAACCATTTTACATTCCCACCAACAGTGTGCAAGGGTTCCAGTTTCCCCATGTCCTTGCCAACACTTTTATTTTCTCTTTTTTTTTTTGATAGTAACCACCCTAGTGGGTGTGAGGTGGTATCTCATTGCAGTTTTGCATTTCCCTAATAATCAGTGATGTTGAGCATCTTTTCGTGTACTTAGCAGCCATCTTGTATATCTTTGGATAAATGTCTATTCAAGTTCTTTGCCTATTTTTTTAACATTTTTTATTGATTTATAATCATTTTACAATGTTGTGTCAAATTCCAGTGTAGAGCACAGTTTTTCAGTTATACATGAACATGTATATATTCATTGTCACATTTTTTTCTCTGTGAGCTACCG